TCGTTTCCTTCGCTTTAAATTCTTCAGATTATTATTATTATAATTATTATTATAATTATTATTATAATTATTAAAATATTATTATTATTATTATTATTACGGACCTGAGGGACAGAGAAGACAAAGAAAGGCCGCTTTTGGCGAAGCTAGAAGCGAAAACATAACCCGGGCCAGGACAGCGAGGCCCGCGAGGGGACTCGGACCGAGGGGGGCGGGTTTCCGTTGTCCAGAAAACGAATCACATTTATGGTTTATTCTCCGCAGTTTTGAGGATTCCGACATTAAATTCCGAACACTTTAAAAAAAAAAAAAAAAGCAAGTCTATATAGCCAAACATCGTATGATCGTGTATATATTTAATTTCAGGTAAGAAAATCAATTATGAAAAAAAAAAGTGTAATTTTTTTAAATATTTTTTTTTTATTTTATTTTTTTCCCTTTTCGCTCGGCCAATGAGCGCTCCCCTCTCGCGTCTCCCCAAAGGGTCTTTTTATTTTTTTATTTTTCCCCCCTTATTTGTTCCCTTCATTATGAATCTCCCTTCTTCCCCGCAGCCTCAAGTCCTGTCAGCATCTTAGTTTTGAAATGTTTGTCTGGCTCCTCTCTCTCTCTTTTCCCACCCCACCCTTTTGTTTTTTTTTCTGCCTCCCTTCCCCGCGTTTTCGTGTGTGCCTCGGCCGATCTTGAGTTTGTGTGTGTGCGCGTCCCTTTCCCCGAGGAACACCGGTGACCCTCACAGACTGCCAGACTGAACCCTTGCTGCAAGCCAAAGATTTTTTTCTGTAGTCTGAAATAAAACGTAGATTGTGTTCAGGATGTATGTCGGTGCTGTAATCCTTTCTCTTCCTCCTAGCCCTCCCCACTTTTATATATACATATATGGAAACACCCCCCATACTGCGTGTGTATATATATATATATATATATTCCTCTCGGTCTACTTGGTAAATATTTCTTCTTTTAAAAAGAGGCAATCAATATTTCATTAAAACTCTCGTTTTCTTTGCTTTATTCGCTCTCATCTCTCCCCACCCCTCCCTTTTCCTTCTGCCGGAAAACCAATTAAACCGAACATGCTAATAGGAGAATGGTTTGCTTCTTCGGATGGAGGTTCGCTTCGGAATTAAATCTTACTGAGAGCAAGGAACTTGCGCGCGCGCGCGCACACACACACACCACGCCAAGTGCCTCCCTCCCAACGTGCATGGGACCAGGGCCAAATCCCCTTCCTCCTCTTCCTCTTCAGGATTCGTAAGCCTAAATTCGTTTGTTTTCAATGGAGCTCGAACTGGCCAGGACTAACTTTATGTACAATTTGGAACAGCCCCCCCCCCTCGAAGTGAAGAATTGGACTTACAGGTCTCAGGGGTTGTAATACTATATGAAAACCTCTCTCTCTCTCTCTCTCTCTCTCTCTCTGTGTGTGTGTATGTGTGTGTGTGCGCGCGCGCGCGGTGCCCGCATTAATCATGGCACAAATTGTATGGCTCTTTCCAGTTCTAGGATGGGTTAGAAAGAAAATTTGTCTGAGAGTTCCCTGTCTTGTATCCGACATCGTATTAAATTTCTCCTGAAGCGCCTTTGGCCAGGAAGGAGGAGTTGTGTGTGTGTGTGAGAGAGAGTGTGTGTGTGTGAGAGAGAGAGGGTGAGTGAACAAGAGAATGGGAATGATCAGTACTTTGCAGACAGTTGCTTAGCAGCACAGCATAATGAATGGAGTGGCGAGGGGAAGAGATTGTTTTCCTTCCTTGGCCTTCTTGAATCAGCCACAGTGGTGATGACGGCTGCGATGTTGAGGACAAGTATTACTATTAGAATCTTTTATTCCTCTCTTTACTTCTATTGCGGGGAGAACGCTCCAGCAAATAAAACCTGGCCCTCCAATAGTCTGGCCCGATTAGAACAAAAATGCTGCTTAATTTATTTGGGAGGCCTCGCCATCCTGGGAGTTCAGGATTAATGGAGTGACTCTTCCCTGAAATTGCCCAGTGTCTTAGAAGCATGTAGGCATGTAGCTTTAAAAACCAAAGGCCCTTTCCTTTCCTTTCCTTTCCTTTCCTTTCCTTTCCTTTCCTTTCCTTTCCTTTCCTTTTCCCTTCCCCTTTCTCTTTCCTTCCCTTTCTCTTTCCTTTCCTTTCCTTTTCCCTTCCCCTCTTTCCTTCCCTTTCCCTTTCTCTTTCCTTTCCTTTCCTTTTCCCTTCCCTTCCCCTCTTTCCTTCCCTTCCCCTTTCTCTTTCCTTCCCTTTCCCTTTCTCTTTCCTTCCCTTTCCCTTTCCCTTTCCTTTCCTTCCCTTTCCTTTCCCTTCTTTCTTCTGGAAATGTACAGCAGGACTTAATGTTCCAGGTACAACACCTGCATTGTATGCACACTGTCACGTGTGTGTGATCCTTAGTAGGACTGGGGAAGCATCACAAAGGGCCATCAGCAGCCAATATAAATAATATCAAACCAGACAGATCAATGGGTCAATTCTAGGCAAGGCAGCATCAGGTACTCTTGTTTCAGTACAAGGATTCTGCAATCAAAGCAACCTTCCTTGGAAATAAACCTCTGGTTTTAGTGGGGTTTGCTTTAAAATGGCTGTATCTGGTGATTATTTTTCATAATTGATTCTTGCTCTTTTTAGGAAGGATGGGTGGGTGGTAAGAGCAGCAAACTAGAAGTGAAATTAATCATAGCCACCGCCTCTTGCTTAATGCACGTATGTACTTATTTCCCCAAATCTGATTGAGATAGAATTATGCTTCGTTACTAAAACCAACCAGTCAATGCTGATCCTTTACCCAAATTATAGAAAATATAAAAGAATGAATTAGAGAAGGGGGGGTGAAGAAAAGAAACTCTGCTGCTTTCAATGGGATTGTTGGCTAACCCCCCCCCCCCCCCCAATTGAAATCTAAAGCTTTAATGGAAGTTTGAAGAAATTTCTTTGGATCGTGCAGAGAAATGTAACTTGTCAAGGATAAGTCTGCATTGTTGTTCTGCTCAACTTGGTTCAGCTGAAATCCCCCATCCGGATGCGCCCTCTCCTCGAAAAAAGGAGATTGTGACGCTGTTCTAGTCAAGTTGGCTTGCATTTAGTCGCCTCCGTGAAATTCTTAGCTGTCTGGAAAGCCGGTCTAGGATTTTGGCCTGTGTTAGTTCATCTG